AGCAGCTAGGAAAAACTTAAAATTTGTAAAACTTTCCTTAAAGCGAGACTTTTGGCTGGCTGTCAAAAGCAGCTCTCAGACGTTGACACTCACCTTTGGCCCAAAATGAGGGGAATTTTCGTTTAAGCCTTACTTTTTATACCCGTTTCCTTTGGCTTGTTTTGCCTTATTTTTTAATGATTTGTGTGTTTGCCCCAGGCGGTTTGTTTGCCTGTTTGTTTGTTTGTTTGCTTGCAGTGTGTTTGAGCAAATTTGCTCGCCAAACTCACTTTCATGTTTAATTAAAAGATAACACACAGAGAGCCCACACACACGAGTGTGGGAATGATATGACAAGTCTTAAAGCATTTGCAGCGTTTATCGGGCAAACTTCGGCCACGCCCCCCGCTCCGCCCACGCCCCCTTTGCGTTCGGAAAATTTATGCAATTCGAGTTCGTCCGCTTGTGTTTTTGAGCTTTGCAGCCGAGTGTGTGCAATGTGCCGGAAAATATATTTCCCAAACTCCGGCACAACTTATCTGTTCGGAGGTGGAGAGGTGACATGGCTACGTGACGCTTATCGTCATTATAATTGAAAGCTTTAAAAATTTATGGCCAACTTTTCGGCTATTTAGCATATCAAATCGTAAAATGCGAATAGCAACGGCGGAGGAAAAACTCGCCAGGCACGCAAATAATTATTTCCTGGCACTCACAAACAAAAAACAATTTCAATTGGCTTTTACGATGCGTATTTTTGTTTTATACGCACTCGGGAAAATTAAGCGGTTTTTTTAAAACAAGCAGATTTAGGAAATAAATCCGAATTTTTATTTATTTACCACACTTTTCATTAGGGCAATTATTAATTTTTATACGTAGTATAAAATCTCTTAATGCAGTTCATTTATCTTCCCAGTTATTAAAAAATGTAATAGTAGGTACTGCACTGTAAAAAATATAACTTGAATTTTGAAATAATAATATTTTCCAAACAGTTATCAATTAATAAGAAAACATGATACATATATGTTTATAGACTTGGGTTTACATCAATTTGCGAAGGTGTACAAATGCTTCTGGTTTATTTGGTCTCTTTTATTTTATGAACAAATATTTATTGTTCATTAAGCTTGATTAGATTTATATTTTACTAAGTTACCTATTTGCTCTCCTAATTTATTTCGGATATTTTTTCAAGTGCTACTATTTAGTATCACCAACACCGCTGGTCATCAATTAATGTCGTGCAATAAAAAGTTCTATAAAGTGATTGACTGGCCAGTTTGCCGAGTGGAGTTGAGTGACCCCTGACCCCCGATCCCGGGCCGTTTCCGTTTGCGAGCTCGATTGGCAAGTTGGCATGTTGAAATATTTAAAGCCGCTTAAACAAATTGTGGTCTGGTCATGCGGTGACTTGTCAGACAGTAAAACATTGCCAACGCAGACGAAGCGATTTCATTGCGGGGAAAATCAATAAGTGCGGGGGAATCGGGGCCTCCTGCCTTCGTAATCTCCTCACAAAACTCTCTCGTTAGGCGCATTAAATTACAAATTCCATTAAAATGATTATTAAAGCAAGTATTTGCTAATTAATTTACTTGCTACGCACAATGCCAGGACGCAATTAATAAATCCAAATGAGTAGCTACATTATAATCAAGACACTAGCCCAAGAGCTTGAACGCACCAAACACCCTGTAAAAAAGTCGTTTCGAGGGGATTAAGCATTTAAATGATTTTTATTGGCGGGTGGGAGTGGCGCCCTCCAGGGGTCATTAAGCTGGTGGGGCGCCCCCTGGCGAGGGTTATGCTAATCACCAAGTCTTTAAGGAATTACCCAGATTTTCGGACTTAAAATATTTTTCGGTGAGGTAACTAATAAGAACTTGCGTGAATTATCTTGATTTAAAAAAAATACAAATATTTCCAGTATATTTAGCTTGCTTAAATATTATACTTAATATATTAATGAAATCGTTTTCTTTTTTCCACAAACATATTAATGGTGCCCACAAAACTAGGCAATAGTTTATTTGCCCAAAAAACTAGGCAACATTTTTTGAACTAAGATTTCTATAGTGCCCATAAAGGTAGGCAATTTTTTTGACTTGAGATCTCTTTAGTGCCCAAATAACTAGGCAATGTTTTATATAAAATTACTATTGCTTCAGCGCGCAAAAATGTAGGCAACTTTTTAAAGCAAACGTACTTAAATAAATATTATATGGTGTAATATGTTAATTCATGTAAAGAGCAAAGCAATTTATACACAGTTTTTAGAAATTAATTTAAAAAAAAGATTATTGTAAGCAAAAACCGCCTGAAACATGCTTAGACTATATTTTGTATCAAAGCTTTTTTAAATTTAAAAACACAATCATTCTAGGGAAACGGGGCAACTTTTTTATTCTTCCGACAAGAAGCACTCATCCGTTTCAATCGTCTGCAACTGCAATTCCATTCGGGCTCAACTGAACTCTCATTGTGATGGAATCGTAACAATCTACCCTTTGTTACCCCCTGAAACACAATGAATTACAACAGTGCCTCATGACCCCCAGTTCGCTGTAGTTCTTATGAATAATAAAGCAAATAATCTGTCAGCGTCGCAGCCGCCTAACCAAAAACCAAAAACCGGAGGCCACCCGAAGCCAAACCCAATCCCAATCCCAAAGCCCGGAGAAATGGAAAGAGATGGCGACAGGAGCGGAGAAAGAGAGGCCACTACGGCCGGGGAATGTCAGCGAGAAGTCCACAGCGACAAACGACTCAATTCGTGGGCGAAATTCGAGTACTCTCAGTCGACATTTGCTCTGTCTGACAAATCAAAAAGAGAAATACACTGGGAGAAGAATTATAAAATGCTAAGTCTCTTTGGATCATAATAAAAATCACAGAAATCTGGCTTCATCGTTGCAGTAACTATTTTGTGAGTAACTATTTTATTGCAGATGTTAGTCTTAAAAGAAGTCTTAAAATATATTTTACTTTAGAGACCTGTTTTCTTATTTAAGAATAATTAATTTTGGCATTTTTAAATTAAATAGGCATGACATCATTTACAATATTGTTGTATTTAGTTTTATTTTATTTGTTTCGGAGATGTACTTAAATTTTATTTGACCCCAAGGAAGGATGGAAATGTAAGGCCTAATCATTGACTATTTTCCCCGGTGCATGAAAATTCGTATAGGAAAACGCGGAAAAGCGTAAGGGAAATGGGAAATGGGGAGCGGTGAGCGGTGGGTCCAGTGCTAATAACACGAAATCCGATTTGAACGCCGGACTTGCGTGTGATAAAAGCAACAACATCACGCAGTCTGCGGTTGCCTTTTTCCGTTTCGTTTCATTTCGTTTCGTTTGGTTTGGACTCGTGCCACGCTGCGTATGCGTAACGTGCGTTTTAATGAAATATTGAATTTTATTGCCTGCGTGCCCAGGACGCGCTGTCAACAACTTGGTCCAAACCAAAAGCTGACCCTGACTGGCCCGCTTCACAACTTGTCACTGCCTCAAGGGCTGAGTTGCACAGAGAAAAATGAAGTATTTACAGGTAAAATAAGTTAATGGGTGAGCTTGAAAAAAGATTTAACCATCTTTAAAAACATAAAAATCTCTCCAGTATATAAGACTACACAATACTTTCCTTAATTGTTAAAAATCAGATAAATATATATTTAATTGTACAGGGTCAAAGTCATACTTAATATTCAATTGTTAATGGTAGAAATGTGATATTAAATATTTAATCTAAAATATATTTAAGTACTTTTGAAAAATATATAAACAACCACACACACATAGACACAAAAAATTAAGTATGAATTCATTGTGCGATAAATATCATTACATATGTATGCTTCTATAATTTATTCATTAACTCATTCATCAATACAAATTCGCAGATATTGTTTGTTTACTTGATTTACTACACTATTTATTATTTTATTAACTTTTTTATTTCTTAATTTTTTCCCTCTGCAGGGGATCCGTTACACCCTAGCCCCTCGTAACCTCTTAATTTGATTCGTTTTATTTGTTATGCAAAAACTTGAAGCATATTATTATTACCCATATATACGCAGTCCGTAATTTTCGTTGCGCCTGCCTAATAAAAGCAATTTATGGAGCCCAAAGCGCGGAAATGAATTGTTAACCGAATTTTTTGGGCTGAGAGAAGGATGATGTTGTCCATGATGTTGTTGATGAGTGGGTGGTGTCTTTTGTTTATGGTCACTCAACCCACTTCGCCCCTTCACGTAAACGCCTTTTGCGGCATTGTGAAATTTCCCAGAGCGCACATAAAAAATGAAAACCGCCAGAAGGGGCAGATAACAAGTGGCAAGGAAAACGGGGGCGTGGCACGGTGGAAAAAATGAAAATGAGAATGCAAGAGGGAGGGCGGAGAGGTGAAAGTCAGTCAGGCAAGAAGAATGCAATCGGCTGGGTCTGGAAAAAGGTGCATATGGCGATGGCTCCAATCAAGGGGGATATGCATCCAAAGAAGTGAAGCTAAAGTTCTTAAAAACATTTTCAAGCAAAAAAATAACTAAAGGAATGCAGGAAAGAGGCTTTCAATGCGGAAGTAACTTTTTCATTTAGTTTTTATAACTAGATATGGCAATTTTGGCGAGACAATGCTATACCTACAATTTAAATTACAAACGAAGCTGGTTCCAATGAATTTATACTTTAAGAAAATCACAGACCTTTTATAAGTCAGATTTATTTGTTAGTCAATTAAAGTTAGTCACAGTAAAAATGAACGAAATGATGCAGTGCTCTTAAATATATTTTTGCGTAAAAAAATATATAAGTAAATATTATTTACTGCATTTAGTTGCCACATTTTTTTTTCGTCCCACCTTAAATAAACCTCAGGAAGAGGTCATGGATTTAAAATTGAAACGGGAAAACAAAATAAACCGCAGCAGCCGCCGCTTCGGCCTGATTTCGAGTTCGTGCCTCCATTAATGATTTTCCTCTTTGTTTCTGTTTAATTGTGAGATAAAACTTACCGATAATGAGCAGCTTTATGGTCGACATGTTTGACTGTGTTGCTGCTGATGAGTTTTCTGTTTTTCAGATCGTTTTTCTTTTTGGCTGGTATTTACAGAAATATTAATCCGCTAAAGAGGCAACAGTTTGACAGTAACTGGAGTCGCCGACCGGCACAAATTGCATTTTAATGTCGCAATGGCAATGCAATTTCGATGACGATTATCCCGAGACACATTTCGGTTTTTGTTTCTGCGGCTTGCGTTTTCGATTTCGTTTTTTGCGTTTTTAATTTCGATTTCAATTTGCTGTTTTTAAAGGCTCACTCGAGAATTGATTTGGCAGCTGCGATGCTGGAATGCTTTTTCAAATATTCAGACACTCGAGATGCCTGGACACTGTAATTAAATGTTTCAATTAAATTAAATGAGACACACACACTCTCGCTCATGCTCATGCAAAATGCAGATGGAAGGCGCCTAGAAGTAGGCAATGAATATTTAAGGCCTCAGACATTTCAATTTGGGCCTGCAAGGGGATTGAAGCCAAAAGGTCCAATTGAAGCCATGCCCAGACATTAAATTAACATATTTCCCAAATAATAATAATTTCCAGGAGCAGAGAGTGGAGAGATGGATCCGGCAAATGGAATTGTGCCCAGTCAGTTGGCCTTTCTACACATGTAAACTGGGCTGCTAATGTCTTATTCATGTTTACAATGCCCGGGCAAAAAGCGACTTATGAGCGGCCAGCATGTCAGTCAAACGGCTCGAAAATGGCCATCGCTTGCGTGCTCCAAACTTATTAGGTTTCATCCTCCCACGAAGACCCCGCACTATCATCATACCATATCCCAACCCATCCCCAGGTGAGAGGGTTCCGCCGGGTAGTTGATGGGCCTCCTTTTGGCCAAGCCCCGGCAATTGCCGGGCTATTTATTTAAACCGGAGCCGAGGGGACACAAAGCCGGAGCGTTTCCCTGCCCAATTGTTAATGGAAATCTCCTGCTATACTCCGCACTAAATGCCGAGTAATTATGAGTTATTAATGTTGCCTGTTTATTTTTGTTTTCAGTTCTGGTTTGGGGACCTGAATCACAGATTTATAATAACTAGACTATATATTTCTGATTTTTATAGTGCTTATAAGCTATTCAAAGTATTTAAAGTGTCTGCATAAAAAAGGTTTACTGGAGAAATCTTTGATTATCACTTTTTTTAGATGATTGTTTTGCGGATTTACTGACAAATTAAAACAAAACTATAGTTCTTCACTTCGCATAATAATAAATCATTTAATCTTTATTCTTTTATATTTCAAGCAATTTTTGAACATCATTTTTAAAATCTTGAAGTTTTTATTTATCCTAAGCACTAATAGTAATAATATTATTTGTGTTTTTTCCTAAAGTTTAATATTAGTTAATAAAGGCATTTTCGTTTTCACTTTGAACTATTCACTTCTTTAACTAACAAAAACTGTTTATAAAGAAAGAAGAAACACCTCTGGACATATTTGCTTTCATTTTGTTAAACTTATATTTTTCTCATTAATTTAGGGATATATATTGATTTACGTTTTTCTTTAAAAAAGCAATACCAAGAAATAACAATCTTATTTGACACTTAAGCAACGCTTTCTCTACAATCCTATTAAATTGTCTTTTATTGGACTTCTGTGTTTTTAAATGTACAAATCAATTTAAATACTTTATTCTGCCACAAAGCCGGACATATATTGCAATTTGTGTCTTTAATTTATCTAATCCTCTTACAAAAACTTTGACAATTGCCGTGATTTTATTTGATTTTATTCCTCACTCGTACTTTCTGTATTTTACTAGGCAACTTTCAGCAACTCATAACTCAACAAATTTAACGATGTGAGTCCTTGGCGTAACTCATAATTCGCTTATGCATGGCCCCAAACTTTAAGCTAAACCACTTTCAACGACATCGCAAAATGCCAGCAGCCATAACAATGGCCGAAAAAAAGCAGGGGAAATGCCAAGGAAAGCCCCGAAATCAGCTGTCACAGTGGAATAATAAAAATAATTTATTTGCATTTTATTTGCGCAGCCCGGAGTCTGGCTCTGACTGGGTTTCTAGGGTCTTCTAGGACCAAAGACCAAGGACCAAGGACAACAAGTTGCTGACACACAAACGGCAGAAAAAAGAGGAAATTATACGGATTTGACAGATGAGCGAAGGTAAGTGGAGCACGGCATTCGCAGCGGCTTTAAATTGAGCAGAAATTGTTTGTCACTGTTTGTTGGCCCCTTTTGGGCCTTCTCGCATTTTATTTTTATTTTATTTCCTCTATTTCTGTTGCACTAGTTTTGGCCCAGTTTCTGGCTTTTTGGCGGCATGACTGTGGGGTGGAGAGGGAGAGGGAGGGGTGGCAAGGTCACGGGGAAAAGCGGGGCAACAGTTGCACTTGAGTGCCATTTGTCGAAAGAGCTGCCCGGCAATTTGCATAATTACAAACGCACATGTAAACGAAACGCGGTTTCCGCCTGTCCGCAATTTGCACTGCAACGCTTTTCCGCACTCGCGTTTCTTCGGTTTCCCTATGCACTTGAGGTCCCCGTTTTTAAAGGACTGTCCGCTCGGCTTTTCCAGTTTTTATCCCGACTTATCCGCTTTGCCGCCCGTGGCCGCAGAACGCTTCTTACCAACTAAGTGCAATTTCAGTTTTGTTCCAGCTTAAGAACGAAGCTCGATATGACGAACGGCGACCCCCGAGTACAGTGAACTTCGGCCATGCACGAATTGCAAAGACGAAGTCGCCAGCCTTCGGTTGTTGAATACTTCTCGGGGCGACTGCGCCGAGAGAAAGCCCTGGCAACATGTTGCCAAGGGAGAGAAAGTTCAGAGAAAGTTTGAGAGCAAGGATAAGCCGCTGCAGGACTTTTGTGGTAGGTTAGGGACTCCAGAAAAGGGTCTCGGGAAAACGAACCGCAAATTGTCCTAGGGCTAAAATTATTCAAGCTGCTGAACAAGATTATATTTAAAATTTAGTGTTTACTGATATAGTTCTTAATTTAACAAATAAGTTCCCTGAATATATTTGTTTCGAGATCCGCCTGCTACTTAGCTGTCATAAGTAGTCGTTTATATATTGTAACATCATTATCTTAAAGATGATATCTACAATTCGTTTTCCTTAACATTTTAAATAAATGATAAAGTTCATTTTTATTACGTTTGCTTGCAGTAAACTGTTTTTATTCATCGATTTCCATTTATTATATTTTATTTCAAAGGGTATATAAATGTATATTTAATTTGCTCTCAACAGATGGTTCAATTTCATATGCTCGAATTACAAATTGAAGCTTGATTGTTCTAGACAAAAACAAATCAAATCAAATAAAATGTATTTTTATAACTTGATGCTTTGTTTTCATTCAAATTTAGTCAATTTAAATGTCATTTTAGTTTTCCAATGGTTTTGCTTTATGTGCATTTATTACTCATGCTTAAAAATGCATTTATAAATGCCTAGTATTTTTAGAAAGAAAAACATGTTAGCACTCAAAATAAAATATGAAGATGTAAAAATCTCAAATAAATGCTGACGTTTCATTTATTTTTGAATACATTTTTTTTATGTTTTCTTTAAATATTACCCATTCATTTGATAATTAAATTAATTTATTAGTTTTTGTCTGTCGTAGCCCTCTCTGCTTTTGGTTTTATTTGTGTTTTGGGGTCAGTCGAAGTTTGTTGTTTATGGGCATAAACACACACGAAGCTGGGTTCACGAAATTTTGTTTTGGACCATAATCGTTGGGATTCGGTTTTGGCCAAGTTTTTTGCCAATCCAATCCTGGCTAACTTTCCCAGAGAGATACTGTTCCATTCCACTCGTTCCGCTCTCATTTCCCGAGCCGTTTCTCTCTCAACTTCCTGGCGAAACCCTCTCTTTTGGCAACATGTTGAATTGCTGCACTCTCAAGTGCATTCGGTTTTATTACTAAAGTGAATCAACAGTTGGGCCTGACTAGTGCAGACAAAAAGATCTATAAGCCCTCGGTTTTATAACATTTTTACATGCCATTTATATTCCTGAGATCCATATATTTTTCTAGAATTTATATATGAGAGCATACTTTTTAGGCCTCACTGAATATTTTGAGCAATCAACAAAAGTGGCTCCTGTTTTACTCCAGCTAAATTTTCTGAGTAGTTTATGGCCCACCCTTTGCTGTTTCAACATTTTTGACCCCCAAACCCCTGTTCAGAAAACCTTAACCCCCCTTTTGAATATGTCGTGGCACATAAAAAATATTTGCAAACTGAATGTGGCAAGTTTGCCAAAAAATGGAAAAAGTGACTGCCACAAAGGTTGTGCCAACACCTCAGCACGCAAATACTCACACACACAGAGATATACAAAAGTTGTTAAAAAGTCCAAATAAATAAAATTTCTCTTTCACCGAAAGAGATAGGTATAGAGCGAGTGAGCGAGAGGCCGGAAGTGGAGACGCCTCACAAATGTTTGACATAAATTTATGCGTTTTGTGTGTTGCCCACGAAAACTCCTCAACTTTGCTTGTAGATCAGGTTAGGTGGTATATTTTTATTTGGGGGAGGGGTTTTGAAAGTTAACTGGAGGGGGTGTGGTAAAGGCGGGGTGGTCAGAGAGGAGACAGTCACGGTTGAGGCTGGCAAACTAAAGTGTGCTCCGAAATTGAGTTGTTATAAAAGCATTTGAGAGGAGTCGCATTGAAGACCTGAGGTGGTCACAGTCGAAAATCCTAAGAAAACTTATTTAATTTAGGAAAATAATAATCTTAAGTAAAAAATAAAAGTAATATATATTTGACGGATGGTTATTATCATTGGGATTTAGGAATTATAAAAGTAATAATTTATGATAAGTTATTGCTATATACTTCTATTTAAGCTTATAAAGCAATCAATTCTTTTGGAAATATAAACATACCATAACGAATCTTTTTTAAACATAAGCTTGTCATTTATACATTTAAAATTATAAACTCTAAAATGTTTTAACTCATTTCTCTCACTCTCCAGTGTAGCTGGCAGTAACTTCCTTGTAAGCACATTATTATTTGCATGCCAATGCCAAACATTTGACATCTTCCCTGAGAAAGGGGCTACGTACCACGTAACTCGTACCACTCCTCACTTGTCTACAACTTTGGACTTAGCCCCAACCAACCACTCAATACTTTCACTACACAACCCCAATTCAGAGTGTAAACTTTTTTCGATTTAAATAAAAAGCCAGCAATGCGACAACACTTTGAACTTTGATAGAGGTCTATAAAAAAAGTATAAAAATACACAAAAATATGTCAACACTTTTAGAACTATTTTCCGCGAAAGTCAAAGGTAGCAAAAGGCTTTTTAGTAGCGTATATTTTTGTCTAACTTTTTTATGACTACGGTTTTATAAACCAAATAAGCTATTGTTAGATTGTTCTATCCAACGTCATAAATTTACAAATTTGATGGATTCAGCTTTGCTTTGGATGTACAATTCTTTAAAGTATAATTTTTGTTAAAGGGAAGTTGAAATGGGTTCTAGAACATTCACTCTCTTGAGTTAAAATATTGCAATTTTTTGTTTAGAGGTAACTAACTTTTTATCTTGCTCTTAAAGCTTATTTGATAACCTGAGTTATAGGCAGATCAAATTTAACTGGTTAATTTCCTGCTTAAAATGCATTATTTTCAATGAATTTTCCGGGCCATTTTCCTCAGGCCTGAGTAAAAGTTAGCCTCAATCTTCGGTTGTTTTTTTTTGCACATCCCTGCAGAAATTGTTGCAGGAAAAGCAGCTGCCGAACCGGCGGCGGTTTAAACAATTTTAATTAATTTACATGACAGCAGCTGCTTGGCATGTGATGCACGTAAGATGCGTGGGCGCATTTTCCAGCTTTTCCAGAAAAGTGGGCGTGACGGCGGGGGAAATTAAGCGACGGGGAAACTGATGAGAGGTGCAGACGGAATTAAAATTGTAGCGAAATACTTCTGGTTGCAGCTGCAGCGGCAACTACAGTTAATCAAATGTGAAATGACATGAACACAACACTCTGGGAAATGGGGGCGGCCAAAGGGGGTGGCACATAAATCAGGGCAGACACGCCCACTTTCACCCCAGCTACCAATTCGCACTTAATTGCTTAAACAAAAGCGACGCCTTTTCCTTTTTCCACCGCACTATTGAGCAATTATGCAGTCGGAGAAACAGTGCCTCCGAAAAGTGGGCACACAGAAAAAAAGGGAGGCGGATATGTAAACTGACGGTAAGGCCTGCATAACACCATTTAAAATGCAAGACTCTTTTAAATATATAAAGCACACTCATTACAAATTATTTCTACATTTTTTTTGCTCTTATTTTTACATTATTGTACTGAATACAACATTTTTAAAATATCTATTTTGTGTTTTATTGTTTAAATATTTTGACCTGCAAAACTCATAAAACCTCTTGAATAAAATATATTTTTCACTGGGAATACTTGCGGGCACTTATCAATATACACCCACATATTCTCTCTCTGCATACCAAATTAACCAAACTTTTTAGGCAAGATGGGGAAATGAACGGAAAGCCAAACGAAACGTGGCGAATGCGTTAATATATTCAAGGAGGCCTCATCATCAGCGTCGTCAACGTTTTGTGTTAGCCATATAATTTATGCGCGTTTTAATTTCATTTGGTGCCTAACAAGTGCCACGCCCACCTCGGGGGCTCTCAGACGGCGAAAGGCGGTGGAAATAGGGTAATGAAACCGGAGAAAGGGGAGAATATGTTATTTTGACACCTTCAAGGTTGCGCCCTTCTCAGACAACTTCCGTCGATTCTCTTGGGGTCGAAAATTCGGGGGGCTTAAAGGTAAATGTCAAGGAATCAAGGTACGAATGGAAAGGACTAATCAACCTGGGGAGTTGAAGAAAGTTGGAAATAGAGACACTCTTCCAAAGCCATGTTTTAACAGGAAATGTCTTTTGCGAAGATTCCTTATGTTAAAATGTTTGCTAAGCTTCACTGCACTATATTTCTTTTTCTTTTTACTGATCTTATATTTTTATACCCGTTACTCGTAGAGTAAAAGGGTATACTAGATTCGTCGGAAAGTATGTAACAGGCAGAAGGAAGCGTTTCCGACCCCACAAAGTGTATATATTCTTGATCAGGATCACTAGCCGAGTCGATCTAGCCATGTCCGTCTGTCCGTCTGTCCGTCTGTCCGTCTGTCCGTCTGTCCGTCTGTCTGTCCGTCCGGATGAACGCTGAGATCTCGGAAACTATGGGAGCTAGGCTATTGAGATTTGGCGTGCAGATTCCTGAGCTTCTTACGCAGCGCAAGTTTGTTTCGGCACAGTGCCACGCCCACTCTAACGCCCACAAACCGCCAAAAACGGTGGCTCCTACAGTTTTGATGCTAGAATAAAAATTTTAACTGAAATGTATTGTTCTCATCAATACCTATCGATTGACCCAAAAAAAAGTTTGCCACGCCCACTTTAACGCCCACAAACCGCGAAAACCTGTGACGCCCACAATTTTCATGCTAGATAAAAAATTTTAACTGAAATGTATTGGTCTCGTCGATACCTATCGATTGATCCAAAAAAAAATTTGCCACGCCCACTCTAACGCCCATAACGCTTAAATCTGTATACCGCCGGTAGGTGGCGCATTTTAATCTCGCTTTGCTGCTTGCATATCTCCATATAGCTGAGTAACGGGTATCTGATAGTCGAGGTACTCGACTATAGCGTTCTTCCTTGTTTTTTTCCAGAAAGTTCTGGTATCATTGCCAAAATCTGTCCCAACAGTCTGTGATAAGAAATCAATATGTGGGGATAATTATAAATATAATAATATAATAATAATAACAATCCATTCATAAATTCTAAGACTTATCTATCGTAAGTCCCACGGAAGCGCAATTTTATATTATCATTCTCACAACCGTGCAATTTAAGTGGCGATAAGATTTCTGATAAGATTTCTGCTGATCCGTTTGCCCGGGTACAGTGAGGCACCTTTTTTGGTGACCTGCGATCAGAATAACTACGGTGGAGGTTGGACTGTATTGATGCGACGAACCGATGGAAGCGGAGACTTTTACCGCGAATGGAAAGACTACAAAAAGGGATTTGGGCTAGAGAAGTTTCATGCGCTGACCTATTTCGCGACCCAAGAATTGATGGTTGTCCTGGAGGACTACGACGGAAATGTACGCTATCAGCACTACGAAAGCTTCATGATCGGCCCAGAGTCCAACAACTTCACCCTAGAATCGATTGGTTCTAATGATGGAGACGCAGGAAACTCGCTCGGCGCTCATGTGGGCATGCAGTTCAGTACTAAGGATCGCAAAAACGACATAGATAAAAATAAGAGTTGTGCTGTATCTTATAAGGGTGCTTGGTGGTACTATTTTTGCCACGAGAGGTTATTATTCCTATGAACAGAAATTCAAATTAAGCTTCATTGCAACTGGAATTGAATACTTGTTACTTTTCAGTGCCTTGACTGGTGTGTATGGCGATAGTTCCTATGGACAAGGCGTGTTTTGGCATTCGTGGCGTGGATATAATTACTCTTACAAACGAGCCGTAATGATGATTAGGCCGACAGCTTATTCTTCCAAGTAAACTTATTGAACTTATTTTGTTTGTCATGCTAAAAAATAAAAAATAAATTTCCACATAGATAATGCACATTTAGGTTATACAATTAAGTACCACAATAAAGATTTGTCGCTATCTGTATAATAACAATAAACATTTTACAATAGGTACAATTGCATTGCGTTTCATTAATTACATATTTACAAAATAATATTGCTTTTAAAAACAAATTTATTTTATTTTATTTTATTTAAGGTACAAAATGACATAAATAATGTTTTATATTTATATTTTTACTTTATAAGTTGCACGATCTTCGATAATAAAATACGAAGTACAAAATGCACGAAATAATTACACTTCAAAACGAGAATAGGGTATTCCCCCATCGCTCCTTGTGTCGAATATCACCTCCATTTGTTATCCTTAACACCAAATCCTTTTTGCATATTGTTTTGTTATTCTTGCACCCCCGCCTTCATTATTTAACACATTTCAAAATTCACAATTCAAAACGTGTTAATTAGCAGGCGGCGAAAAGGGGCGGAAGTTGGGGGTGGGAAGTTCTTTCTCTCCGCAAATGTGTTAATGACTGGGGGAAAGGGGCCACGCCCTCCCCACGCGACTTTCATTTCCGCGCCGCCTTCTTGAGTTTTGGATGTCAATAAAATTAGCATTCGCATTGGCCTTTGTTTCTGTTTTTGTTTTTGTTTGGCTGTCGCACAAATTAAACTGTTTCGAGGGCGTGGCCACATTACGCAACTAAATATTCATGCGAACGGAATTCCAGAGGCCTCGTTTCCCGACTTTTCCTTGCCGGCCTTGCCTCAATTGACGCCTCGAGCGAAAGGAAAACTCTTTACCCCCCGGGGAGCAGACATAACTATCAAATTACCCAAGGATATGTGTTTTCGGGCTAAGTCATAAAAGCACCAATTCTTGACGGGTAGTGTAGTTTTGGCATCTGACGGAGCCAAGTTTTAAATATTTTATTGTAATCAAGACGCGAAATTTCTCCCCAAGCGAACTTGGGGCAAATACAAATTTAATTTGCTTAAAAATGTTTAAAACACTTTTTGAAAACGGTAAACAAACGGTGGAACAATAAAAAATAATAGTTAGCCTTATTGGTTACTATAAAATAATTATTTAAAACTAATAACTTATTGAAAATCATATAATTTCTAAGGATTACTTTGCATGATATGTAACATTTTAAGTGGATTATTGATTATTAATTAAATATATTATCTCAAATTTAATAAAAGAACATGAATTAATAATTTAATTAAATTTAATAAGCTACTGTCTTCCTAGATTCCTATCCCATTATTTTATAAAAGTCGAAAAGCGAATTCTGCTTACTCCGCCCTTCCTTTAAGACCCCTTTATGGCCACCTTCCCCCACCTTTTCCCTTGCCCATTTCGCATTTTCATTGTGAAAATGCAGCATGAAAAAAAGAAAATGCCTTAACGAACATGCCTTTTGTTCTCTTGGGCTGATTTACAGCCGCAAGTTTAGCCCGCTCCTTAACCCTTGTGCGGCCCCCTGTGGCCCCCGCCCCGCCCTCTTTGCCCCGCTGTTGGGCAGTTAACATTTGCTTGATGCACTCCTTAACACTTTGTTGCCGTTAATTATGCAACAGCCCTCGTCTGCTGATGTTTTTCCTCCTGCTCGGGCTTTTCCTCCGGCCTTTCCTGACTTTCCTGCCATCTGCAGGCTGGCAAACAGGCAAAACTAAATGGAAACTGTCAAATGAACCGCAATTGTAATTGTGTTCGCAGAGTTTGCTCTTCGGGTTGTTTTGCCTAAAAACTCTTTCTCGGCTACGAAATGATGTGTGCCATGGCGAAAACTTTCACCTTTCACCTGTTAATGACGTGGCACACGACACGTAGAGATGCACTAAAAAATACATGACTTTTTCACCTTCCTGCTGATTTTTCATATCATTTGGAAAGGTGGCCATCTGCGTTTTTATAGTTCAAAATAGAACATTACTTAAATAACAAGACCATACCGTATTAGTTTAATAAACAAATATGTTGATTTTTGTAAGAATATAGCAATAATACCAACAAATTTTATCTGCTCCTAAATTACACCTTTGAAGTTCTTGTTAATCGAACATATTTTTAAAAGTGTAGAGATAGAGACGACAAATGCAACAAACTGCCAGCCACCAAATCTGCAGCCAAATCCTTAGCCAAATCCTCAGCCAACTGCTTTTCGTCGTGTGCTGCTGTTTGTTTTTGGGCGAAACTTTCTCGAAAAAATTCGGCGAACAACTAAAACTTTAATTAAAAGTGGAAAATGTATTATTAAAACCAGAAATAAAGAGGAGAGCAAATGGATCACTAAAGTGGGAGGGGAACGGCGAGGATGGGAATACTCTAGTAATGGGAATTTGGCATAGGGGAATATGATGAGATTAAATTATAATTGGTTTGATTCGGAATATAGAGTCTTAAAATTGATTTAAAATGTAAATAGTTTTTAATTTAAAAAATCTCTTGAATGTATACTTTTTCAGTTTTATATAATGTGATATTTTTATAAAGATGTACAATTATAATTTTAATGTAATAACAAATGATTTTACTCTTGTTATAAGTGGAGTTCAACACAGTATTCTTTAAATCTAAGTAAAATTTAAACTACATACCTTTAAAGATGGGTCTCAAAGTGTTTTCCATTCGGTGAGGAGACATACGCCTTTGTAGACCCCTTGCACCAGCACACGATGCAGTTGCAATGTGCATTTATTCAACTGTAAATCAATAAATTTTAATTAAAATTGCAGCCATACGCAGTGACCCAACGACCCAATCAGCCAAGCCAATTGTCCTGTCCTCTCTTTCTGTTACCCTCGCCCCGTCTCTTTCCCCCGCCATTTCCCGGATGTATCTGTCTCACTCGCTGATAAATGAAACATCACAATTTTGGATGGGCTGCTTTTAACTAAAATTTTCGCAGCCCGAAAGCGATGGCAAAAGCTCATAATCTGAATTTCCGTTGCCGCTAAGCGTCGTTCAGCATATAATTTGACATTTGACAAGGTCAACCCCTCTTCCCACGCTACACCCCCTTTTTGGCGCCCATCCCTTGATAATTTCGTTATGCATTTCGATTTCGGCAATTGCCAAATTGTGATTTTCGATTTGTAGATGGCGAATTTCGATTTGGAATTCGTGATTTGTGTGTTTGGCGTTTCGCTCGTTCGGCCCGAAACAATATTACGCATACGACATGATTTCCCTGACAACCGCCCACTTTCTACCCCTTTTTCAATCCCGCCAGCGATGAAACCACCACCAGCAACATTCCCATTTCCTTTCCAACATTTTTGAGATTAATCTGCGCCAGATGAAACATTATCATATGTGGTTTCATTGGGAGGTTTTCGTTTATATGCTGTTTTACCCAATGCTTACAAGTATTCCCTGATAAATGTATTATTGAACCAAAACTAACGAAGATATTGGAATTCAAGTGTTTCTGCTAAACTTGTATATAAATATAAATATAACCTTAAGAAATTTTCCAAATTAAGTGGCACATTTATTTTAATATCCATTGATGGAGACACGGGTATCATATAATCGAGACACTCGATTATAGCCCTTCTTCCTGCTTCGAAATACTATTTTGCATTTTGCCGTTTGAATTGTTTCTTGACCATGTTGTTTTAGTTGTTTTCTTGTCATTTCTGATTTTCGGTTTTTATGTTTCTCGGTTTCCGCATAATTTATCGCCAAATTATTGAGCTAATGAAGTGAGTTTTTCGTGCCGTTCGCTTTTTGCCATTCCAGTTTTGCCTTTGGAGATTATATCGAATTTATGCAGGAATGAAATGCATGTGAACAACCAGATCCCTTCCCCTACTTGCCCATAAATCTAGCCACGAATAGCGTTATAACGTATACGTATGTACATATATCGAAACACCCTTGTGTCGGCAACAAATCATCTAAATGCGAGGAGGTTGCTTGAGGTGTTTCGATTGAGATTTGAGTGGCGATTAAGAGTGAGGTCGGGAAATGTAAATGGGTCCTTGATTGAGGGAACTTGAGCTGAGGACGGTGGAGTGGGGGCCCCTTAAGACTTGAGGTGTAGCCCGAAAAGGAAGTGTACAAGTGGCTAGTTTTGAAGAGGTTGGGTGCAATTTGATCCTTAGTTTTTAAAGAAAAATGTTAAATTATGTTTTCTAGATAATTATAATAATAATGGATCGTATTTTTAATTATAAAAAATAATTTTAAATAACTTTAAGCTCCCATCTCGCTTACAAAAACTATTCGAAAAGGCATTGCTGCTCATAGCCAGGCAAACTTTTCCCCAAGCCGCACACACACTCACTTGGGAAAATTTCAGTGACGAATTGTAATACAAATGAGCCAAAACAGGGGGGACCCAACCCCCGCTTACACCGCCCATGGTTTTCCCTGTTTCCCGGCACGTCGTTTAGTGCAACAACTTAATTTGCATATCAGCGCCGCCAAATTGCAAGCGGCATGCAATGAAAATGGAAAATTGTTTTGCAGGCTGTGGAAAACTCATGCGCATGCAAAGGCGAACACACTTCATCAATTTGCCAATAAACTTGTGAGTACTTGGCGCAATAGTTGCCAACATTTCAATCAGGCCAAACACTCCGCTCGGCTCAGCTAGGGCTCTGATTTTCCCCACTGCCATTTCCCCAGAATTTTCCCACCCCATTCCACCCACACACTACTTGTGCGAACTTTTTGAGTCAGCGCAAAAATTTTATGCACATGGCATAAAATCGAAATCAAAGTTGTTGCTGATTTGGCGCAAAATTAACAGGCAAGGCAGGCGCTTAGCTGTCAGCT